GTTGCTTTTCCATGGGCTATTTAACAGCAGGTGGGAAGTAGTTTGGAAAGTGTTTGTAAAGAGTGCACAGATTCAGTCCTAGAGTGATTCTGCCCAAATTCCTTGGAAATCTATTAAATTTGAAACCTAAGTAATGCTAATATTAATAAATGAATTATCTAAGTAAATATTTGTCCAGACAAACAGGTGGGTCGTCCATGGACTTTTTAGCAGCAGGTGAGAAATAGTTCAGAGAAGGAGTTAAGGTGGTGTTAATTAAAGAGTGCAGAGATTCAATCCTAGAGTAATTCTGCCTGAATTCATTGGGAATCAATGAAATCTGAAACCTAAATAATGCTAATATTAATGAAATATCCAGGTAGCCACATGTGGGCTTTCCATGGGCTGTTTAACAGCGAGTGGGAAGTAGCTTAGAAAGGTGTTAATCAGAGAGGGCCGAGATTCAGTGCTGGAGTGGTTCTGCCAAGATTCCTTGGAAATCTCTTGAATTTGAAAGCTGGGGTGTAGTTTGTGGCTGTGGATTGTGCTGTGGAGTTTCCCACTCCCACGTGGAGCGGGAGCATTGCTGTGATGACGTAATTTGCGTCCTACCCAGTGCTCAGTGACAGTTGCCTGCTGTCGGTGAGCTGGCACTGCTGGGTGACGACTCCTGAGTTCTGAGCAATATCCCGACCCTGGCGAGCCAGGAATTCAGGAATTGCCTGTCCCTGTGCTAAGAGTTCACCCTCCCCAGGCTTGTGCTCGGCCGCTGATCTCGGTGTACTCGGAGAAGGGGGAGGCCTCGGGGAAGAATGTGACCCTCCCCGCCGTGTTCAAGGCGCCGATCCGGCCCGACGTGGTGAACTTCGTGCACACCAATCTGCGCAAGAACAACCGGCAGCCCTATGCCGTCAGCGAGCTCGCAGGTACCCGGCACCACCACCACCACCACCACGGCAGCCACGGCTCCCTGCAGCACTCCAGGGATTCCTCACCCCTGGGAGCTGCTGCCTCACCGGCTCGGCCACGAGTTGTACCTAAATACGTAGATTTGGGGTCTTCAGTACCTCGGGGTGGCGTCAAGGGAAGCCATGGGTTCCTTCCCAAGGGATTTCTGTATTCGTTTAGGGCTCCTGGGGCTGCCCTGGGGGATGTGATGCCACCCCACCTTGGTGAAGTTTGACCCACCACAGGGTGGTTCTGAGCCAGTAATAATTGATCTGGTGTCTAACACCTGGGAATTGGAATTAAAGAAGCACTTTTAGTAGGATTCTGGTTATTAACATTGTTAATTATCTCAGTTCTAAATTGTGTGATGATAAAGCTCAAGGAGGAGCAGAGGGCAGGTCTTTCTCAGGCCTGGTGTTCAAAGCACCGTTAAAATTTTCTTTGTTAAGTCTGGTGTTCTCGACCTTGGAATAATTTTTCCTGAAATCCTTCCGCTGCCTGGCATTTCTAAGGTTTTTAACCCACTAAGAACAGCAGTGCCAAGTGCTCCAAATGGAGGATCAAGCTTAAAAATGAGTGTGTTACACATCTTAAGTCAGCAGCAAGTACATTAATATGCTGAGAATAACTTTATCTGATCCGGGCTGTTCTGCTGAAATGATGAGGTTCCACTTCATTGGTCCGTGTTTCTGAACCACATGATTGTGTGGAAGTTCTGATTGGTGCCTGGAGCTGAGCAGGTCCCTGCCTTTGGGGGGGTCAGTGCTGTCACTGTGAATGCCCCTGTGTCTCTTGCAGGTCACCAGACCAGTGCTGAGTCCTGGGGTACCGGCAGGGCCGTCGCTCGCATCCCCCGCGTCCGAGGGGGTGGCACTCACCGCTCCGGCCAGGGGGCCTTCGGGAACGTATCCTTCCATGGCTGTGCTTCCAGCAGGGGCACTCAGCTCAGCCAGCTGAAAAGTTATTCCTGAGTCTCTAAAAGTGAACTGGGATCCTCCAGGGGTTGCCTCTGCACCTCCTGAACCACCTGATACGTCCAGTCTTGCCGTGATGTCGTAATTTGCGTCTTACTCTGTGCTCAGGGACAGTTGCCTGCTGTCAGAGTCCTGGCACAGGTGGCTGACGACCCACTAACGCTGAGCAAGCACTAAAGAGTCACTTTGGGAAGAGTATTCCAAAGGGTTGTCCTTAACTCCACGTCAGATGTGCCGAGGCGGCCGCATGTTCGCTCCCACCAAGACCTGGCGGCGCTGGCACCGCAGAGTGAACATCACGCAGAAGCGGTATGCCATCTGCTCTGCTCTGGCTGCATCTGCCCTGCCAGCTCTGGTCATGTCCAAAGGTGGGAATTCTGTCTCTGGGAATGTTTGCCTGAGCCAGCATTGGGTACCGTGTGGTGACTCCAGAGGAGTTTTGCACTGCATGGCAGTGCCGTTGTCTTTCTGTGCATGGAAGCAAAGGTTTGCTTAATGCTCAGGTACAGCAAGTCCTGTCTGAGACAGACCTGTGAGACTCTGCTGCAACTTCACTGCTGGGGTTGCTGTGCCTGAATATTAATTCAGTCATTTCATTGGACAGCAGTGCCAAGTTGCACCTCCAAATGGAGCATCAGGCTTAAAAATGAGTATGTTAAACATCTTAGGTCAGGATCAAGTATGTTAATATACTAGGAATAAATTTCTCTGAATAATAACTGAGATTTGTTTTACTGAAATGATGAGATTCCACTTCATTGGTCCGTGTTTCTGAACCACATGACTGTGTGGAAGTTCTGATTGGTGCCTGGAGTTGAGCATCTCTGACTTTAGGGGGGATCACAGTTTTGTCACTCTCTGAATGACCCTCTTTCTGTTCTAGGCCACCAGACCAGTGCTGAATGAAAAATTTAATTTCCAGTTTATTGTGTTGTATCATTTGTGAATTCCCAAGGCAATGACTTTCACACGTGGGTCCAGCCAAGGTCAGTGGTAACACAGTCTCTTGTTAGGTCACCGCATCGAGGAGATCCCAGAACTCCCCCTCGTTGTTGAGGACAAAGTGGAGGGTTACAAGAAAACCAAGGAAGCCGTTCTGCTCCTTAAGAAACTTAAAGCTTGGAATGACATCAAAAAGGTGAGTTGATCAGATGTGTTTCCAAGAGGGAATTCCAAACAGTTGTGTTTTGACCCCAGAGAGTGATGAACTCCTCACTGGTCCGTGTTACAGATATGCAGTGACGATGGTGACGTTCTGACTGAAGCAGTCTAGGGTGGGGTGTGCCTGGTGGGATTTGAGCTGTTGGGGCGCTCACAGGTATCCCCCTTTGCCAGGTTTACGCCTCCCAGCGCATGAGGGCCGGGAAGGGCAAGATGAGGAACCGCCGGCGCATCCAGCGCAGGGGGCCCTGCATCATCTACAACGAGGACAACGGCATCATCAGGGCCTTCCGCAACATCCCAGGTACCTGTGGGACACACCCGCTCCTCCAGCAGGGCACTGCCTGGAATGATGAGATTCCACTTCATTGGTCCGTGTTTCTGAACCACATGACTGAGTGGAAGTTCTGACCCGCCGCAGTGGCTGATAATGCTCTTTGTAACAACCTGTTCTGGTGGTACTGAGGGTGTTTGTGACAAATGTCACAGCTGTTCACCCTGAACTGCATTTGGGGCAGTTAAAAATGAGCCTGTCGAGTTTTTATCTGGAAAAATAGTGATTGCTATTAATTGAATAATAGATTTCCACACATGGGGGTGTGTGGCTCTGTAGCGTCAAAGCTGAAAAGCCACAGCGTTTCTGTGTCCTCCTTGATTTAATTACAAATTAAAGGGATTTCTCTGCCTGGTTTGCTGCAGGAATTACTCTCCTGAACGTGAACAAGCTGAACCTGCTGCGACTCGCTCCCGGGGGCCACGTGGGGCGCTTCTGCATCTGGACAGAGAGCGCCTTCCGCAAGCTCGACGACCTGTACGGCACCTGGCGCAAGGCGGCCACGCTCAAGAGCGACTACAAGTGAGTGCAGCCCCTCACACAGCTGGGAGAGCAGCCCAGGGGCTGGGGGGAAAAAGGACACTGGGACTTCTTCCTGAGTGCCTGTTCTCAGGGAGTCAGCCGTGGTTGTGTCACCCGCTCACACTTGGAATGTTTGTTTCGCAGCCTGCCAATGCACAAGATGACCAATACAGATATCGGAAGAATCATGAGAAGCCAAGAAATCCAGAAGGCCCTGCGTGCTCCAAAGTAAGTGTTTTTGTCTAAGGAATGTGATGTGTGATTTCTCTGGTCGTTGCTTAACATGAGGTCTTGTTGTGGGGTCAGAAATCTCCGCGCTGGGATTTCTTCATTTCTGGGTATAAACACCAGGAATTTAGGCTGCCCAAATTTCAGGGAGAATCTCTCAGAGCTGCCACTACAAAATAAGGTGACACTCCATGTCTGTGCTTTTCAGGAAGAAGATTCAGCGCAGGGTCCTGAAGAAGAACCCGCTGAAGAACCTGAGGATTATGATCAAGTTGAACCCCTACGCCAAGACCATGCGCCGCAACACCATCCTGCGGCATGCCCAGAACGTGAGCGAGGGGGCAGCGGGATGGGCACGCCTGGGGTGGTGCTTCGGGTGTCACACTGATCACCTCTCTGTCCTTTGCAGCACAAACTCAAGGAAGAGAAGAAAGCCAAGGCCAAGGCCAAGCTGGCAGCGCAGGCCCCACCTGCGCCCAAGGCAGAGCCTGCAGCCAAGAGGCCGAAGGCGGCCAAGCCCACGGGCAAGGCCAAGGCCGAAGCGTGAGCACCGCGGGGCTGCCCTGGGGCCGTGCCCGGGGCTGGCAATTAATAAATGTAGTTGGAACAGAGAAACGGTGTCGGTTGTGGGTGTTGGGTGAGCAAGAGCTGAGGAGGAAACTGGTGAAGTGAGAGTGGAAACAGGGCGGGCCCGTCGTGCCGGTCGCGCTGCGGGTGCCGTGAGCGGCCGCGGCCGCGCGGGGGCAGCACCGCCGCGGGGATGTGGTGCGTGACGTCACCGGGGCTGCGGTGCCTCCTCCCCCGCGCCGGGGGCGCTGCGGGGCCGGGCCGGGCCGGGCCGGGCCGGGCCGGGCGGGGCGGGGCGGGGGCGGCGGGGCCCACCATGCTGAGCCGGCTGCAGGAGCTGCGCAGGGAGGAGGAGACGCTGCTGCGGGTCAAGGCGGCGCTGCACGACCAGCTCCGCAGGCTGCGGGTGCGCGGGGACGGCAGGGGATGGCAGTGGGGACCGGGAGCGGGATGGGAGCGGCGGGGCCGGGCCTCCCCCGCGGTACGGGCCCGTTCTCTCCCGGCTCCGGGCCGGGAAGCAGCGGCACGATGGTCCCTGCGCGGGTTAGACCGCGTTAAAGGACACCGGTAAATGCCCTCAGTGCGCCGGGTGAAAGTGGGATCCATCTGCTGCTGCTCCCAGGGGATACGCTCACATTTACCTCCCCAGGTGTACGGTACACCTGTGGTTTGTAGGGTGCATCTCCAGGGGGTACTGGGAATTGTGAGTGTGTGTTGGATACAAGAGCTGAATGGAATTGTGAGTGTATGTTGGATACAAGAGGTGAATGGAATTGTATGATTTGCCTTCTTGGCTGTTGCACAGAGAAGGGACAGTGAGCCTGAGGTAGCTGAACTAAAGCCTAACTGGGTTTTGAGAATCCTGGGCACGGTAATGAAGGAGCTTAGACCAGCAGAGCAGAAGGAAACAAAAGCTTTTCCAAGACTGACAGGTAAAAAACCCTGAGAGTCTGAGCGAAAAGCGTTGTGGAGTGTGAAATCCCCCGCGCTGGGGGCCGGGTTTGCACGTTGAATGTTTCGGCAGAATCCAGGCGGTGCTGAGGGTTGTGCTGCTCCCTGTTCCCAGGTGGAGGAGCTGGCGCTGCAGTCCATGATCAGATCCAGCGAGGAGAACGTCGCTGTCCCCTCCTCAGCCCTCGCAGGGGACGCTCAGCAGGTGAGGGGGGTCGTGCCTGGGCCGGGGAGGGCCCGGCTGGTCCCAGGGTGGGGGCTCAGCTGTGGCTGGGGGTGTTCACGTTCCTCGTGTCGACTCGTCTGTCACTGCAAAGCTCAGCTGTAAAATGCCTGTTCTGGGGCTGGTTTGTGTTTCGAGGGGTTTGCCTTTTCCCATCCCCGTTTCCAGGGGGTTGGGAGGCACCACTTTGGTGTAGGTTTAGTTCTCTGCTCATTAATGATGTCTGATGTGTGTAATGAACACTGGGGTAGCCACTGATGGTGGGATGGAGGCTCAGATTCCCTCTGAGTTTTGCACTAAATGCAGGGTCAGCCTGGACCAGCTGAACTCCTCCATGACCAAGTGCTGGTGGCTGGGAAGGGCTCAGCCAGCAGCTCACAGAGCTCTGATTAACGCTGGGACTGCACAGCCTCAGTGCTGATTTGAGAAGTGATTTGGGGTCTGATAATCAGCTCTTTTCTCGTGCCAGACTCTTGGGCAGATGGACAACGAGGCTGCCATCAACCAAACCGAGCTACACCTCAGCCTTCAGGGCCATCAGGAGGAGGAGGAAGAGGAGGAAGAATCCGATTCTTGAGAGAGGGGGGGAAAAAAAAACCAGAGCTGGTTTTTGATACAGACTCAGGAATTTCTTCTGCATTCATTTAAAACTCACCAGGTGATTTCCATGTCGTGCTGTGTGTGGATATGAACTGTGTGATCCGTGAGGCAGAGTCCAGGGCAGTGACACCCAGCACTCCAATGTCACAGGCTGGGCACATCTTGACTCAGATGTTAAAATGTTAAGATGTGACATGAAAGCCTGCTGCACAAATATGTAGCACAATCCATTCCACACTGAAAACCTAATGTAGCTTTTTACAGCATCCTTGGGTGGGGGAAGGGAGAGGTAATTAATCAGCCAGACCCATTGAACGTGGACACTGAAAGCAATAACTCGCCTGCTCTCGTTTCCTGATGCTGACAAACACAACCAGGTGCTCCACCAGTTATTATGTTACAACCTCACCTGCCTAAACTGGGAATCCTGGATGAGTGGTGAGATAAGATGTGTCCAGGGTTGCTCCATGGAAAACTGGAGTCGCTCCCAGTGCCCTGGGAGTGCAGGTCCAGCACCACCAACCCAAGGGTGAGGGCAGCCCTGAGGTCCCTCTGTCCCCACTGGTGCTCTTCAGTACTGTCAGTCTGGCCAGGGAAGTTCTTTCTGCTTCCTGCTCTTCAGAGTAGCAGCCAAGGAGCCTTTTATTTGTCCACAAATTGTACAGCAGAAATTGGTGCTTGTATCAAGGAACTGATGCTCTTAAATTGGTGTTATTTGCTTTTCCTCTCACGGTAACCTCATAAATCAGGGCAGTGCCACCTGCTTTCCTGGGATCTTTGAGGAGGAGTTTAAGAGCTTAGTTATGAATGGAAAGTGAAGTCTCCTCCACGATTTCTGTACTGGGAGAAGGGTCTGGAATGCTGGCTGTGGGCAGAGCACACCACTGAGCCTCCAGTGAGTTCCTGCCCCTGCTCAATGAGAGATTGTTGATGTGTCCTTTATTTGGTGGGTACTAATAGAAACCGAATGTTGGGATGTAAATGCAGCTTCATCCTGTACTAGACTAACTGGGCTTTGAGGATCCTGGATGTCTGAAGGAGTGCAGAAGTTTTAGCAAAGCTTTCCCAAGCCTGACTGGTAAAAACCCCCAAAAGTCTGAGCTGAAAATGTCACGGAGTGCCCAATAACTCCCTGCAGGTCTGGGTGGGAAGAGCTGGTTTGGGAGGAGCTCAGGGGCCAGCCTGGCCTTTCTTGGCACATCTCTGCTCCAAAGGGTGATTTGGACTGTGAGAAGTGTTATTTGTGCCCAGCATGGTGCAGAGTAATTTCCATGGATATAATTCCTGATGCCTTTAGTGAACGAGCCCCCTGCTTGCTTTTGGGTTCCAACAGACCAGTCCTGTTGCATGTTGCAATAAAGTTCTTTCCCTGCTGTCCCTCCGTACACCTGTGCCTGCAGTGTCCAGATTATTGCTGGTTTTGGGGGGGGGGGACATGGGAAGTGGGTGTTAAACCCCTAAAGATTTGCTGTTCCCACACTGCACATTTCATTTACCAAACAGTGGAGTTGTGTGTGTGATCCACGTGCAAAGCTGAGGGAAGGGTTTAATTTACACACTGCTCAGCTGGCACTGCTCCAGCAGCCCCATTCCAGCCAGGACAAGCTGGAGGGACCTTGGATGTGTCAATGAGTCACTTCCTGCTCTGCTGGGCTAAGGGATGTTCTGTCCCTTTGATATTCAATACTGCTGGCCATGTGGAAGTTCATGTCCAGGCTGCTGGGGATTCCTTTTGGGAAAGAATTCCAGGCATTTCCTGATCAGGAGAACACTGTGAAGTGCAGTGAGCAGATTAAAGCCTTGGTTAAGTTTGGTTTTTTTTTTTTTTTTTGAGTCTTAAAAGAAAGCTTCAAGGAGTTACTTGATAATATATTTATTAAGAGAACCCATTGCTAAACATCTGAGAGAATAAAACAATAGAGGATCTTCATACATTTTAGACACTAAACACAGTTGTCATGAATCTTTAGGTTAAAAGAAAGCAAAGTGCTTGGATCATTGTCTTGATTCCATAGGACATTTCCAAGAACTAACTTTTAAAAATCAATTAGAAAGACAAACATCACTAAACCCAAGGAGGATGATATGTTTGAAAAATAAATATAGAAATATGAACAAGTCTACAATTAGAATATTGCCCTGTACATTCCAAGAAATGCAGAGCTCTTGCCTTCTTCACCTGGAAAGAGAGAGATCTCTGAACAAGAGCACAATTGGAACCCTCAGGCCTAACTTTCAGGTACAGTTGGGCAGCAGCAAAGCTCGACAGACAAGTTTGGGAGCATCCCTATCCCGTTCTGCAGGGGGAGACCAGGGAAAGCATGATTGAAGTACCAACGATTTACAAAGAGTCTGGAGAAAGTTCCAACGAGCTGGGGGGGCAAACCCCCTCCCCCAGTTCAAGTTTCATTAAGAAAGAATATCCATAATCACCTAAAATCAGCAAGCACTGAACTCACACAGCTCACGTTTTGGGCAGTGAACGAACGGGACCCGAAACGATACCAATTAGTTGAGGACGAAGTTGAAAACCGTTTTGGCACATGCTAATCAAGACATTCTTCCTTAGGAGGTGAAATACATGTTTGAACAGGTACAAGCTGAGGGGGTGGGACTGGAGCAGCATCTCTGTGCCCAGGGGACAGCCCAGGAGCTGCTGCCCCAGCTCAGACTCCGGCGGCGTGCGTGGGGGTGCTGGGCTGGTTAAGGCCGATGGTGGAGCAAAGCCACCCCGCAAAATCCACCTCCTCTGCTTCAGACCTCTTAATGAAAGCGTGGATCTGAGCACAGGAGAACAGCAGGTTAGTCAGGCACTCGGTCTGCTCAGTAACAACCCCACAAAACACAAGAAACCCAATCAAGCCACTTGCAGGAGTCGAGCTAAGTAATAAAACCCGGCGGGGCACTTGGAGTGACAGGAGAGCTTTCCTGGAGGACACAGAAACAACCAAAGTATTCCAGAGGAGTATCCATCCCTAACTAGCCTTCTGCAATCCTTTTCTGCAAGATACAGAAACAAGCAGCACATGAAACGTGCACATGGCAGAGCATTACCATTGCAGAGGAATCCTGCCCACACAGAGCCTGCTGCAGAGAGCACTCACACCACTCAGTGTGATAAGGATGTGACTCAGCCACTTGAGATAATACCCTGGAAAACGCCTGCCTGTGCTCTGAGAGGCTTTTTGGAACACAGGCTCTTTGCATTTTGCACCACGGGGCAGGGAGAATTGTGCTGCTGATTTTCTGCAGCACAGCTCAAGTCCTGGCATTGCACTTAGAACCATGAAAAAGATTCACTGACACTCGTGAAAAAATGCAGGGTTGGTTTGTGTCTGATTCTACAGATTTTGCAAGGCAAAGCTGGCAAAAAGAGAGAAGTTTCGTGTTTCATAACAGACGATAAAAATGCATTTAACTATTAATACACTATGAGGAATTTTGTTCTTCTGTCACCCTAAAAGTAATCATTTATATACTTTATTAATGACTGATAAATCCAAGAGAGGACTCTTCTGATAATTGATTTATAAGCACTAAGTCATAAGACTAATTGTGATTATCCCAAGGCAGACCCCAAACCCCCCCTGTTTTGGTCTCCTTGACTCTCCCCGTTCTGGGAGTGTGTGGAACCTGCAGCCCTGACCTGATGCGGGGCAGCTGAGGAAGCCCAACCTGCAGGGAAGGGGGGTCTTAATTCATAGGAAGAACATGCACTTACCATCAGCTGCTTCAGGTCGGCTCTCTCAGCAGGGTTTTTAATTAAACTGGGAAAACACAAAGTGTTGCACAAGTTACACACTGTTCCCTTTGAGAACAAACACGGGGTTGTATCGTGCTGGGTGTGTCCTGCTCTGATAAAAGCATTGTGGTGACCCCCAAACACGGATCTGGGGCTGTGATTCCCTTCTGGGGGTTGCACAGGTACAGATTTAGGGGTGAAACCCTCAGTGGTGACACTGTTCAGGGGAGGCAGCAGGAGTGTCTGCACCCAAGCTGGAGAGAGAAATCCTCATGTAAATAAAAACAACAGGAACCACTTCACTGCCAGGGTTTTTTACCCAAGGCTTTTTGTGCTCAGGTAAGGCTGGGGCATTGTTGTCCTTCCTTTTGGAAACTGGAAATACATAGATTTCATAAATAAACTAACTTTTCAAAGTGCAATGAGCTGCCTCCCTTAGCAGTGACTATCTTGGCTCAGTGCTGGAAAGGTGAAGGGGCGGGGGAATGGTTGCTGTGACACTCTGGGAAAGAAAAGCACCTGGAGCCTGCAAAATTCCTGCATGCCATGGCACAGCCCCTGCAGGATGAGTGCCAGTTACCCCCACAATCAGGATCCTTTTCAGGGGCTGTAGGATCAGTCCCTGAGGGCCCCCTGGGGGGCCTCCCAGTGCTGACCAAGTGCTGATCTCAGGCGCACAGAGCAGCACAAGTTCAGTGGGAAAGAGGGGAACAGCTCCCAGCTTTGGGGTTCCCTGTGCTGTCAAGCTGTCAAATGAGCTTTGGGCACAAATTAACACCCCCAAGAGGACTGTGCTAATTGCAGTGACGTCACACTGGCCACGGCCTAGAGCGGGGACGTTGATTGCCAGGGGGTTGATTCAGAAGGGCAGCAGGGCTGACCCCCAGGGTGCCCCTTTGCCACCCAGCCAGGGAGGAAAATACTCACCATTTGTTAACAAAATCTTGAAATTCAGAACCAAAAACACCGTTGGGCAGTTTTGGAGGTGGCTATGGATGGATAAATAAATAAATCAATCAATACATGTTTAAAATCAGCAGTCATTCAGCATAACTACGTGTCTTATATCTGAGCAGAGCTGTGAGGCCCTGCCTGATTTGGGTTATCCCTCCCAGCTGCAGAATTCAGGTTTTTCAGCAATAAATCAGAGCAGGGACACTTTCTAAGGTGTGGGCTGGGTTTGGGTGGGTTTATTTTCCCTACACACAGCCCTGAGTGGGGTGGGCAGCCTGAGCTGAGGCTCAGGGCAGGAACTGGCAGTGTCCTTCTCCACACTACCGAGGGGAAAATGTCCTGCACATCATTAGTTCCACAATCATCTGGATCTAAATATTCTGCTCCAGGGAATGAGTTTGTTCAGGCTCTGAATTCCAAAAGAATTCTGATACATAAAG